CAGGAAGCTGTTTAATGCAGACAGGAAGCTGTTTAATGCGGACAGGAAGCTGTTTAATGCAGACAGGAAGCTGTTTAATGCAGACAGGAAGCTGCAGACAGGAAGCTGTTTAATGCGGACAGGAAGCTGCAGACAGGAAGCTGTTTAATGCAGACAGGAAGCTATTTAATGCAGACAGGAAGCTGTTTAATGCAGACAGGAAGTGTTTAATGCAGACAGGAAGCTGTTTAATGCGGACAGGAAGCTGCAAACAGGAAGCTGCAGACAGGAAGCTGTTTAATGCAGACAGGAAGCTGTTTAATGCGGACAGGAAGCTGTTTAATGCAGACAGGAAGCTGTTTAATGCAGACAGGAAGCTGTTTAATGCGGACAGGAAGCTGTTTAATGCAGACAGGAAGCTAAAAACAATGGAAAGACAGGCTACACACCAAGATTTAAGGTAAAAAGTAAAAGGTCCTTTAATAAAAGAATGGACCAGCCATTAAATGAGTTGCCTACCGGCTCGGTGACTAACGCACCTTCAACAGGGCAAATATCATATACTATTCTACTATATATACTCATATGATATTTGCCCTGTTGAAGGTGCGTTAGTCACCGAGCCGGTAGGCAACTCATTTAATGGCTGGTCCATTCTTTTATTAAAGGACCTTTTACTTTTTACCTTAAATCTTGGTGTGTAGCCTGTCTTTCCATTGTTTTTATCCTGCTTTTTGCTGTCGACGGAGCACCACCTGCACATCACCGTTCATTGTGAGCACCTGTGCACCTGCCAATCTGGTCTGTAGCAGACAGGAAGCTGTTTAACAAGGTGGACAGAGCTCTCTTGTGTTCCTGTGTGTCTCCAGTTTGAGAACAGTTCTGCTGTAGTCGACAACAAGCTATCGGACCAAGATGTTCTGTTGGCAGGAGTTCAAGTGTCTTCTGCTGGTTCTGCTGGTTCTGTTGGACCCACAGCTGGCATGTGAGCAGGAGGCTAAGCATCTTCAGCGACAGGCTAAGGAGAACATCACGCTTGCTGTTATTTTGCCTCAGAGTAACATCAGCTATCCATGGGCGTGGCCTCGTGTTGGCCCTGCCCTGGACCGGGCCATCAGGACCATCAACTCGGACCCCACCCTGCTCCCTGACCACCACCTCACCTACGCCTTCAAAAACAGTGAGAACCACGTTGGGGTCTGCTCGGAGTCGGTGGCGCAGGTCATGGCGGTGGACCTGAAGCTAGCCTACGACCCGTGGGCCTTCATCGGGCCCGGCTGCTCCTACACCTCCTCCCCCGTCGGCCTCTTCACCACCCACTGGGACGTGCCCATGATCACGGCGGGCGCTCCTGCGGTGGCGTTCTTCGGGGGCACCTACCCGTCCATCACCAACACAGGCCCCACCCACAAGAAGCTGGGAACGTTCGCACTCAGAATCTGCGAACATTTCGGCTGGCGTGATCACGTGCTGCTGATGTTCAACGATGAGAAGGTGGACGACCGGCCATGTTTCTTTGCCATCGAGGGTCTGTATGAAGGTCTGAAGACCATCAACATCAGCACGCAGGACAGTGTGTTTGAAGAAAACAAACCACCAATCAACTACTCCCAGATCCTCAACGACATCCAGAGCAGCGGCCGCGGTGAGTCCCCGCCCACATGAGCTGACACGCCTCATACGGTCACGTTTTCATCCACTGATCCAAAAGACACCAGTTAGTTTCACTGTCCAAAACATCAGAGGTCTGCTAGGATTCACAAAACGGTCTTTGTTCAAATCTAAACAATGGGTCATAAGTTTACACTAAAACCTGTTTGTTTTGACACATGTTGGTAAAACAGAAAGGATGATGTCACCAATGTTCCAACAATTATATCTGGCAGCATGGTGGATCAGTGGTCAGCACTGACGTCTCACAGCTAGAAGGTCCTGGGTTTGATCCATGGGCTTTTACTGTGTGGAGTTTACATGTTCTCCCACAGTCCAAACAACATGCAGGTTACACCGCCTTCAGGCCCAGGAGGACCAGAACCTGGAAGACTAGACCCAAGAGGACCAGACCCTGGTAGACCAGGTCCAGGAAGAAGAGGGTTCTGGTAAAACCCATCCTGAACCAACATGAACTGTAAAGAGAAGATGAAGACAGGTGTCTCTTGTGGACTTGGAGAAGGTATTGGACAGTTGTTCTCTGTGGAGGTGCTCTGTGAGTCTGGAACTGTCTCTGTTCTTACTGGTCCTTCAGTTCCTTTACGAGCAGTGTGAGAGTTTGGGTTTCATTGCTGCAGTAAGTCAGACCCTGTCAGAGTGGGAGATGGACTCCAGGGCTGCCTGTTTCCAGGGACTCTGTTCAGAACTTTTATGGACAGGATTCTTGGTGCAGCCAGGAGGTGAAGGGAGTCCGGTTCAGGATCCTCAGGAGTCCATCTCTGCTGTTTGCAGATGATGTGGTTCTGTTGGTGTCATCGTGCTCTATGATGACTCCTGTCATCTTTGGATGAATGTTTGTATTTTGTTCTTCAGGTGAAGTGGGTGTGGCCTGGAGTTAGCTGCAGACTCAGCTGTGTCTCCTCATTCATCACAGCCTGGCTCAGGAGGAGACACACTGATTTTCAAAGTAAACTTATATATTTGTTATTGTTTAAAGTAGATTTTTAAAGCCCAACATGACAGGAAATATTCAACCAAACTAACTAAACCAAAAATCATAGTAATTTACTGAGTTAACTACCATAATAAAAATAAAAACAAGTCCTGCTGATCCTATTAATGATAATGTTCTTGTTACGGGGACAGAAGGAGCAGCCAGACCTAAATAGGCCACACCCACTTCACCTGAAGAACAAAATACCAACATTAACCTAACGATGACAGGAGTCGTCACCGCTCTCACCGGAGTGGTTCACAGCTGGGATGAGGACCAGAATCTCTAAACACTGGATCCATGGTCCTCAGTCAGGAGAGGGTCTTTGGGCTGGGGGTGCAGTATCTCATGTAAGTCTGGCTTTGTTCACAGTGACAGAACAAAGCAGGAGGTCTGTAGAAGGACCAGTCAAGTTCTACAGTATTGTGGACTGTGTTCTGGTCCATTGTGGTGAAGAGTTCTGATGCTGTTCTTAGACAGCAGGCTTGGACCAAGGCCAGGGTCCAGACCAGAATCACATCAGAACCAGGACAAAGACAGTGAAGACAATGCAGAGCTCAGGATTGGACCTGGTTCTTAGAGTCTTAATGAGGAAGATCATCATCATCATCATCATCATCATCATCATCATCATCACCATCATCACCATCATCATCATCACCATCATCACCATCATCATCATCATCATCACCATCATCATCGTCATCATCACCATCATCATCATCACCATCATCATCATCATCATCATCACCATCATCATCATCACCATCATCATCATCATCATCACCACCATCATCATCACCATCATCATCA